CCATCAGTGGTGGTGGAAACCCATGTGTGTTGGCAACATTTACCAGAATTGGGGGCATGAGGACCTTTAAGTCAGCTCTTGCCTTCTCAGTGTTTGTCCAAAGGAAGGAACTCTGGGTGTTCATCACGAGTGTGCGTGAGGCACGTAATTTATAAAGGGGAGAAATTAGCTACCTAAAAATCCAATGACTGGTACCTGCTTATGCAGCCATAAGGGTGCACCCAAGGAGGGGGCTCTAAGGGGCCAGTACAAGCCCCTACGTGTTCTTTGTAATCTGGAAATGTGGCTCTGTTGTTAGGAGGAAAGCCCAGGACAAAAACTATTATATAGTATGTAATGACAGCCCAGGAGACCAATAGACAGCGATGTGAAAAATACATACATGCTTAAACCCAAAAAATCAAACACACCGCCATCGAGTCAATCCCAGCTCATAGTGACCCCCATTGGGTTTCCAAGCCTATAAATCTTTACAGAAGTAGGTTTCCTTCCATGGAGCAGCTGGTAGGTTTGAACCACTGACCGTCTGGCTAACAACCAAATGCCTTATCCACTATGTCACCACAGCTCCTTATGCAGATGTTGGGCACTGAGTATTCTTTACGCTGAAATGAGTACATGGTTACACAGGGGTAAAAAGTCAGCAAGGCATCTGAGACTTCCAGCCTCAGCTCTGACAAGGGAAGCGTTTGGAAGTCATCACTCTCATCTTGCTTTGGTCCTCTAGTGTCACTCCAACAGAAAATACCACACATGGGTGGCTTTAACAAACAGGGATGTAGTGTATTATAGTTTAGGAGACTAGAAGTTCAAAGTGGTAGCTCTCGGGGCTGGGTGAAAGCCGTTTGACCTTGGGCTTCAGCTCTGCTTCTTGCTCCCAGTCCACTGAAGCTGAACCAAAATGCCCAACCAAACTCACTGCCATCGAGTTGGACCCGACTCGTAGTGACCCCTCCTTGGGTTTCCAAGGAGGTATCTTTACAGAAGTAGATTGCCCATTCTCCCTTCCAAGGAGTGGCTGATGGGTTTGAACCTCCAGCCTTCTGGTTAGCAGTCAAATGCCCTATGCACTATGCCACCAGAGCTCCCACTGAAGCTGAAGACGTCTCTTAGCTCAGGCAGCTGCTGGCTGCTGAGTCTAACAAACCCAACATCGACAAGTAAAATGGCACAGTCCCAAGCTTATTAAGCAATACAGCAGGCCACTAGTCCAAGTCCAGTAACAGTCCCAAGATTGGCAACAACATAACAAGCCACTGCGATGAAGTCTCAGCTATATACAGGATCCAAGCATGCCAAAAAGTTCTGAGACATTTCTCAAAGCTGTCTTTTTATACACCGGAAGCAGACCACATCCCTAAGGCAGCTACTCAACTGCTCGCAGTAGATTCCACCATGGAGCTGATGACCAGTCTCATCATGGGGAATCACTACCTCCAGCTGCCCAGCCATTCAACCAGGCCCCGCCAAGTTGACACACAACTTAACTATCCCCCAGCCTTACCAGAAAAAGCTGAACAAGTGGGAAGGATGTGACTTCGCATGGATCCATCAGACAACTGAGTTTCAGGGCAAACTGCCAACCCAGTATCTGGAGACAGACGAATCCAGAACTCCCAGCCCAGGTCTGCAAATGGCGACTTTGATGACTTGCTGGAGGCTCAGTGTGGGCCTCTCTGAGACCGAGAAACTCCTGGGGGATGCGGTGTCTGGAGAAAGAGGGCCCACACATGCATGGGTTTTATCTTCAGGAAGTCCACTGGGTTCTCTAGGTGGATAGGCAAGAAACAACCAGTCTGGCCCCTATTGGGGGGCAGGGTCCCAATGTGAAAAGCCAAGAGGATTTGCCAGTGAGTCACCAGCTCACGGGGACCTGAGCACAGAAACCAACTGGCCAGTCCTGAGCCAGCCATCCCAACGACTGCCTGGGGACCTGACTGCTGTGAGCCCTAGGGTTGTGCTAGGCTGACTTTGCCTGGAGGAGGACCTGTCTGCCCTCTCCAGCCTTCCCCGCTCACCTAAAGGGGAAAAGCCAGCTAAGAAACACTTGTGAAGGGCTGAGTGCAGGGATTCAGGCCCACTGACAGACTGAGGTAATCACTTCTCTCCCACACCTTACCACAACCCTCCACCACACCTGACCCCGATGGGACCCCTCACCCACACCTGACACTCTGACGGAACCCCAATGCAGTGACAGTGAATTATGGCTGAAGATGCAGGAGGAATACTCTAAGGGGCACTTCGTAGAGGTGCCCAAAGACAGCACAAGAGACAAAAGCGGAGAGCCATTGAGGAACTGGAAGACTCTGGCACCTACAGCTACAGGAAACCTTAAACAGTCCAGCTCCTAACCAGACTAACGTAAAAACTCACACAAAGACCTATTTACCTCCGGTCCTCCTAGCCAATACATCCCGTACACCTCTCAAGAAAAAAATGGTTGTGAATCTAAAACTACTCTAAATAATAAAGTCTATTTGTAATCCGATAACAATACAGGAAATTTTAACACACAATGAACCATCTTGACCTAATTGACATACGCAGAAAATGAACTAAAAGCTGCAAAATAAATGTGTTTCAAGTGCACCAGAACTCTCTGCACTCTGCTGAGTCAAGAGCAAGCTTCATCATTTCCTGGGACCAAAAACAATGGAAACAAATTTTTAAAACTCAAATTGCATATAATATGTTCTGTGACTACTACTGTTCTAGAAAATAGTTAGCAAAATGGTTAACATTCAGAAACATTTGACTATTAATTATTTCACTTTTGTAATCATCTCATGGGTAAGCAGAGAAATTGCAAAAGTAAAAAGATATATATTTGAACATGGCATATAAAAATTTATGGGAGGGGATAAAAGCTGTGTAAAGTGAAATTCATAGCCTTAAAATGCAAATTTCAGAAAGAAAAAATAAAATGTATTGACATAGAATCCATACCCATGTACTGAGGGAAAAAGGAACTATATCTAAAGAAAAAAAATAAGTTAATACATGTAATACTTAAAATCAGTGTGATAAAAAGATACAGTGGAAATGATCAACAAAGGCAAAAATTCTCTCTTTGGAAACACTACTAAAATCAATAAATGTCTGCCAGGATGAATGGAGAAAGGGAAGAAAGGTATCACAGCACACTAAATACCCACAACACACTAAATACACACAGCACACGAAATACATGGTGAAAGACCACAAGAGGAGAGGTGAACACTACGACCCTAAATTTAAAAGTTTAGATACCTAAGAAACATCCTTAGAAAAACACAATTTACCAAAGCTGATGCAATATATGTTGGAATATTCTAAATAATGGAATGGTTAAATTACTTCAATTCCACTAAATTTTAATGAACAAATAAAACTAAATCTCACATGAGCTCTGTGCATGGGAGAAAGCAGGACAGCACATTTCAAACATTCTCTAATTAGTAAGAGTACGTCCCTGTACCTGAACTGGGAACTGGGCACTCTGGTAGTGCACTGAGTGAGGCATTTGGCTGCTAACCAAAAGGTTGGTAGTTTGAACCCACCAGCCTCTCCATGGAAGAAGATAAGGAGTCAGCTTCCATAAAGATTTACAGCCTTGGAAGCCCAGTGGGGGATGCAGTGAGTCAGAATCAACTCAATGGCAGTGAGTCTGGGTTTTTTTGTTTCACTTTTGGTTTTGGTTTAAACTGTCTGTCTGTACCAACTCTCTGTAAACTGTATGCTGAGCAATTGTTCTGCTTCTGTGAGATGGGAATTTTGGTATGTGCTTCTCAGAGGGTGC